TGCTGAAGATCACAAGTTCAAGGGCAGCCTCCAAAATTAACAATAACTTGTCTCAAAAACACAAATTTTAGGGCTGGGGATATAGCTGGGTTGGTAGAGTGCTTGCCTCACATGCGCAAGGCCCTGAGTTCAAATCTCCAGCACCACAAAAAATACAAATTTTATAAGGGCTGGGATATCACTCAGTGGTAGAATGACCCTTGGTTCAATCCCCAGTACCACAAAATAAAAATGAATATTGAGACATAATAGTTTTATCTTGTGGAAAAATGCATTTATAAAGTAAGCAAACAACAAATGTTTAAAAGACTTGAAAGAAATTTCTGCATTTACAGTAAGGAAAAAGCACAAATATATTAATAGCATTCACTCTACCTTAATGTTTAAGCATTATGAAATATTTTTTTAACAAAGAAAGCAGTAGCCTAGATAATCTCCTAATATTGCTTCAACATTTTCTGAAAAATGTATTTCTCTTCCCAGGAAGACAGACCAAGATTTAACTTCTGAATACAGGTTGAAATGAGAAATTAAATGCCAAGTGAAAACTAAGACACCAAGAAAAGGTTGCTGAGGCTGGGGTTCAGTGGCAGAGTGCTTGCCTGTCATGTGTGGGGCACTAGGTTCGATCCTCAGCACCACATACCAAAAACAAAAAAGCAAATAAAATAAAGTCATGCTGTCCATCTCAACTACAAAAAGAAAAAAAGAAAAGGTTTCAGTAAAAGTTCCAGCTGAATTTAGAGCAACTCTTTTTTTGGAGGGAGAGCATTCAACCACCAAAACTAAAATTTCTTAGAACAATTATATCTCCCCTACTTCCTTCCAAGAAATTCACATCAGATGACATTTATTAAACATCTAAATGTACTAAGTTTTGCAATGCCTAAAATCATTTGAAAGCAGAAGAAAAAGAATGACATCTAAAACATTTGGCAATTAAATTTTAAAACTTTATTAAAACTATCAATAATCAATAAGATCTAACAAAAACTTCTAATTGGAATGTTAAATTTTTAAAGAAAAAACTCTTCAAACAGATAAATAGATGGTACTCAATGAATGAAAGCATTTCAAAATTAGACTAAATATTGATTTTGAGAGCATATAAGATAGCATTTTCAGATTAGGAACCTGGAATAGCAAATGTCCATTAAGATTGAAATGCTAAACTCACTGAGTTAATGATTTCTACAAGAAAAAGAATTCTCCACTGGATATACCAGTTACATGCAAGTTTATTACTTTAATCATGGGTAAGTCTTATGTGCCCATGAAATTATCAAAAAAAAAAACTAATTCCAAAATTAGAGTGATTAAATTCATATCTTGTATATGTGCAGAATTTGAAAGGGTTTGCAATTAGATGTGAAACTTGTAAGACACAGTCTTAAGTATTACTGAAAAGAACACTTAAATTATGTTTTGGTACTCCTCCTCGGCCTTTCTGATACCCCTTGGGAAAGAACACATTAAGAGTTTAATAATTTATCATTAAAAACAATCAGTATCTCTAGAAACATAATAGGGTAGCTAGGTATGCAATGGATGTACCAGTCTAATAGACAAAATACAATTTTAATTTTCTGCATAATTACCTAACAAAGCTTATTATTCAAAGCCAAGATCTTCTATCTATAGAGTTGTCTTTCATGGGGCATAATTAAGAATTTGCCATCTTTGTTAGTTATAAAATGCCCACAAATTTCATGTTGCTTTTAACAGTATGACAATGTAGTTGACTACAACTCCTAGAATAAACTTATGCTAGTAAAATGTGACAGACAGGAAGCCCAGCATGAAGTTCCACACCTGTAATTCCAGCTACTTGGGAGGCTGAGGCAGGAGAACCACCAAGTTCAAGGTCAGCCTGCACAACTCAGTGAGACCCTGTATTCAATTTTTAAAAAAAAATTTACATGGCCAGGATGTAACTCAGTAGTAAAGCATCCCTGAGTTCAATCCCCAGTATCATAAAAAAGAAGTGACAAAAAAGAAATGAATTAACAATCTCATGATATGCATCATATATTTTTTAAAAGATAATTTTCAGGGGCTGGGAATATAGCTCAGTTGGTAGAGCGCTTGCCTTGCATGCACAAGGCCCTGGGTTCAATCCCCAGCATCACCAAAAAAAAAAAAAGATAATTTTCAGTCAAGTAAAATCTCATCTGCTTGTTAAAAAGAAAACAAAATACATAAGAAACAATTTGAAATATTTGTCATAGTCCAAAAGCCAAATCCATAAGTGGATTCACTAATAATTTGGTTGCACTGTCTTTAACGTTTTCTGATGCTGTTTTTCGTTTTTTTTTAACACACTTTTTTTAGTTGTAGATGGGCACAATACCTTTTATTTATTTTTTATGCGGTGTTGAGGATAGAACCCAGTGCCTCACACATGCCAGATGAGTGCACTACCACTGAGCCTCAACCCCAGCCCCTCCAGATGCTGTTTTATATTTAAGATACATTCTTTTCAGACAAAGGATTTTCTGGTAATGTTTACAATACTATTTGTTCTAATAAAATAAAAATGCTAACATCTATCTTTAGCAAGATAAACTCTGAAGTAGGCTATATGTAATGAAGTTTTCACAGAAGAAAAAAGAAGTCAAATAAATGAAAGTGAAGTACTGGATGGTGGTTTGTCAATTTAAAATATTTCAGTATATAACTTTAAATTATTTTCATGTAATACAGTTATAAAACTGACCATACTGATTTGGACCTACTATAATTCAAACCCCATTCCATAAGCCAAGCAATAACTTCATGCATATAAGTGCTGATAACAGTTTTAAAGTAGCTCTTTAACACAAGGAACTATGACTGTTAGCATGGATCATGTAAATACACATAAAGTGAACCCCAAATTCTACTTTAACTAGGTATTTTGACCTCTTACATCTCTTAGTCTTCTTCCAATCAATGCCAGTCAGAAGCAAGCAGAAGTTCACCTTCCAGCCCAATATTTGTCATTCTAAGTTGGAAGCAACAATAGTAAAAATGTCAAAAACAGCAGCTGGGGGCCAGGGATGTAGCTCACCGAAAAAGAATGTACAAACACCACAAAAAAATTTAAACGTGGAAGAGGACACTAAGCAATTTACAAAAATGAAAGCCCCTAAATAGATGATCTGGCTCTAAAGGTAAATAAAACAACCATGAACCAATTTATCCATTTTCAGGGGATTACCCTAAGATAGATGATGATGATGGTCTGGTTGGATTTGTTAACTAGTACATATGAGGATTTGAAAAATGTTCCTAACAGTTAAAAATGAATGTTTATCTGTCAGTCAATAAACCAATAAGCATTATAAGTATATGCTGGAGGGGGGGGGTTAAACCAAGAGAAATATGAGACATAATCCCTATCCTTCAAAGACCTCTCAATTCATTAGAGTATAAGAGTAAATACACATGAAGAAGTCAGAGATCAATTAATTGCTAACCCGAGTGGTACAGACTTTAAGTGCAAAAGCTGTCCTGAGAAGTTTAAATATCTAAAGGCTGGAATAATATTACTTTTAATAGCCATCACTTGAGCACTTACTATAAGCCAAGTGCTTTACAAGCATTATTTAGTCTTCACAACAATCCTTTGAGTACTTATTATTCCCAATTTACTCAAGGGGAAACAAAGTGGTTAAGGAACTTACCCAAGGTCACTCAGCTAGTTAAGTGGCTAAGACGTCC